AAAATATACATATATTGGAATATATATTCTTTCTACAAATTTGATTCATTTATGATAATTTTTCTAAAATTTAAAGTTTAATCAGCAAGAAACTGTTAAATACAAGCCCAGAATTTATAAAAATTATTATGATAAATATACGTATGATAAAAATATATAATAAAAATATTTTAAATAATAAACTAGTTTTTATACTAAATACCACAAATCCTCTTCTAGTGGTAGCACTTTTTTCTCTCTCTGTATGACAATCGCATGTAAAAGTCATGGCAGAAAGGTCAAGTCAAGTGAAATTGTCGGAGACAAAGCGAGAAAGCAAGCTGGAGCAGCAGCTGGAGCTGAAGCAGTGGAAAAATTATGTCAAAATTTGAATTAGCAGCTGAGAAAATAACCAGTGCTGCCACTGGTAGACAATGGAAACGGGGTGTATAAATTAATTTTTCCTATCAGCTGTAGCCCGGGCACTGCAGAAAAGTCGCGGAAAAGTGCAGCCGACTCGCTGGCTTTTCACTTTCGTGTAGGTTTTTCTTCAAGATCTCGTGGGCCTCTTGTGGGCTGTGTGGTTCAGTTTTCAGTTTTCCATTCGACGACTGCGAGAAGAGAATTATTTCAGTGGCGATAAAGTGCCGTTGACAGAAGTGGTTTTCCCTTTTTTTTTTTTTTTGTCTTTCTTTCCATCGGGCTTTTCCTTTATCTCCCCAGTGGTTGTGGTTTCTTTTGCCCTTGGCGTGCGGAGAAAATGCATTTTCCCACTCGCCCGGCTCGCGAAGAATGGGGAAAACTGCATTAGAAATGAGGAAAAATCAGCGGTAGCCGTGAAAATTGGTTTTTGGTTTTTGGTTTTTTCTCTTTCCTTACTTGAATGGATTTTTAAAAATAGATACAATTTATTCAAAAGTCTCGACAAGTCTAGCTTCTTTTTTCCTATTGGATATTATTGTTTATTATTATTGCTTATTATGCAATAATAGTTAAGGCTGAAAGGTAATTTAGTGGATCTTTAAAGCTATATTGGCATGGTGGCAAATCGAACCACAAATCAATGAAGGTACTCCGCTTGGGAATCGGATGAGAATTGGGAAAGATATAGCCATCCCTGTGGACCCCATAGGGGAAATCCTCATTTTCAAGGGCCCCCATCAGGAAAAATGGACAAAAAATCTCAAAAATATTTTGTCTCAGGATTTTGATGCAGAATGGTGGCAAATCGATCCAGAAATCGATTAAGGTACTTCGCTTGGGAATCGGATGAGAATTGGGAAAGATATAGCCATCCCAGTGGACCCCATAGGGGAAATCCTCATTTTCAAGGGCCCCCATCAGGAAAAATGGACAAAAAATCTCAAAAATATTTTGTCTCAGGATTTTGATGCAGAATGGTGGCAAATCGATCCAGAAATCGATTAAGGTACTTCGCTTGGGAATCGGATGAGAATTGGGAAAGATATAGCCATCCCAGTGGACCCCATAGGGGAAATCCTCATTTTCAAGGGCCCCCATCAGGAAAAATGGACAAAAAATCTAAAAAATATTTTGTCTCAGGATTTTGATGCAGAATGGTGGCAAATCGATCCAGAAATCGATAAAGGTACTCCGCTTGGGAATCGGATGAGAATTGGGAAAGATATAGCCATCCCTGTGGACCCTACATGGGAAATCCACATTTTCAAGGGCACCACTCAGGAAAAATGGACAAAAAATCTCAAAAATATTTTGTCTCAGGATTTTGATGCAGAATGGTGGCAAATCGATCCAGAAATCGATTAAGGTACTTCGCTTGGGAATCGGATGAGAATTGGAAAAGATGTAGCCATGGAAGTGGATCCTATAGGGGAAATCATATTCAAGGGCCCCCATCAGGAAAAATGGACAAAAAATCTCAAAATTATTTTGTCTCAGGATTTTGATGCAGAATGGTGGCAAATCGATCCAGAAATCGATTAAGGTACTTCGCTTGGGAATCGGATGAGAATTGGGAAAGATATAGCCATCCCAGTGGACCCCATAGGGGAAATCCTCATTTTCAAGGGCCCCCATCAGGAAAAATGGACAAAAAATCTCAAAAATATTTTGTCTCAGGATTTTGATGCAGAATGGTGGCAAATCGATCCAGAAATCGATTAAGGTACTTCGCTTGGGAATCGGATGAGAATTGGGAAAGATATAGCCACCCCTGTGGACCCTACAGGGGAAATCCTCATTTTCAAGGGACCTCATCAGGAAAAATGGACAAAAAATCGCAAAAATATTTTGTCTCAGGATTTTGATGCAGAATGGTGGCAAATCGATTTAGAAATCGATTAAGGTACTTCGCTTGGGAATCGGATGAGAATTGGGAAAGATATAGCCATCCCTGTGGACCCTACATGGGAAATCCACATTTTCAAGGGCACCACTCAGGAAAAATGGACAAAAAATCTCAAAAATATTTTGTCTCAGGATTTTGATGCAGAATGGTGGCAAATCGATCTAGAAATCGATTAAGGTACTTCGCTTGGGAATCGGATGAGAATTGGGAAAGATATAGCCATCGAAGTGGATCCTATAGGGGAAATCCTCATTTTCAAGGGCACCCATCAGGAAAAATGGATAAAAAATCTAAAAAATATTTTGTCTCAGGGTTTAGATGCAGAATGGTGGCAAATCGATCCAGAAATCGTTTAAGGTACTCCGCTTGTGAATCGGATGAGAATTGGGAAAGATATAGCCATCCCTGTGGACCCTACATGGGAAATCCACATTTTCAAGGGCACCACTCAGGAAAAATGGACAAAAAATCGCAAAAATATTTTGTCTCAGGATTTTGATGCAGAATGGTGGCAAATCGACCCAGAAATCGATTAAGGTACTTCGCTTGGGAATCGGATGAGAATTGGGAAAGATATAGCCATCCCTGTGGACCCTACATGGGAAATCCACATTTTCAAGGGCACCACTCAGGAAAAATGGACAAAAAATCTCAAAAATATTTTGTCTCAGGATTTTGATGCAGAATGGTGGCAAATCGATCCAGAAATCGATTAAGGTACTTCGCTTGGGAATCGGATGAGAATTGGAAAAGATATAGCCATCGAAGTGGATCCTATAGGGGAAATCCTCATTTTCAAGGGACCTCATCAGGAAAAATGGACAAAAAATCGTAAAAATATTTTGTCTCAGGATTTTGATGCAGGATGGTGGCAAATCGATCTAGAAATCGATTAAGGTACTTCGCTTGGGAATCGGATGAGAATTGGGAAAGATATAGCCATCCCTGTGGACCCCATAGGGGAAATCCTCATTTTCAAGGGCCCCCATCAGGAAAAATGGACAAAAAATCTCAAAAATATTTTGTCTCAGGATTTTGATGCAGAATGGTGGCAAATCGATCCAGAAATCGATTAAGGTACTTCGCTTGGGAATCGGATGAGAATTGGGAAAGATATAGCCATCCCAGTGGACCCCATAGGGGAAATCCTCATTTTCAAGGGCCCCCATCAGGAAAAATGGACAAAAAATCTCAAAAATATTTTGTCTCAGGATTTTGATGCAGAATGGTGGCAAATCGATCCAGAAATCGATTAAGGTACTTCGCTTGGGAATCGGATGAGAATTGGGAAAGATATAGCCATCCCTGTGGACCCTACATGGGAAATCCACATTTTCAAGGGCACCACTCAGGAAAAATGGACAAAAAATCGCAAAAATATTTTGTCTCAGGATTTTGATGCAGAATGGTGGCAAATCGACCCAGAAATCGATTAAGGTACTTCGCTTGGGAATCGGATGAGAATTGGGAAAGATATAGCCATCCCTGTGGACCCTACATGGGAAATCCACATTTTCAAGGGCACCACTCAGGAAAAATGGACAAAAAATCTCAAACATATTTTGTCTCAGGATTTTGATGCAGAATGGTGGCAAATCGATCTAGAAATCGATTAAGGTACTTCGCTTGGGAATCGGATGAGAATTGGGAAAGATATAGCCATCCCTGTGGACCCTACAGGGGAAATCCTCATTTTCAAGGGACCTCATCAGGAAAAATGGACAAAAAATCGTAAAAATATTTTGTCTCAGGATTTTGATGCAGGATGGTGGCAAATCGATCTAGAAATCGATTAAGGTACTTCGCTTGGGAATCGGATGAGAATTGGGAAAGATATAGCCATCGAAGTGGATCCTATAGGGGAAATCCTCATTTTCAAGGGCACCCATCAGGAAAAATGGATAAAAAATCTAAAAAATATTTTGTCTCAGGGTTTAGATGCAGAATGGTGGCAAATCGATCCAGAAATCGTTTAAGGTACTCCGCTTGTGAATCGGATAAGAATTGGGGAAGATATAGCCATCCCGGTGGACACTATAGGGGAAAACCGCATTTCCAAGGGGTCTCGTCAGGAAAAATGGACAAAAAATCGAAAAATATTTTGTCTCAGGGTTTAGATGCAGAATGGTGGCAAATCGATCTAGAAATCGTTTAAGGTACTCCGCTTGAGAATCGGCTAAGAATTGGGGAAGATACCCTATACCTATAGGGGAAATCCTCATATCCTTGTCTTTTAGCCCTTTTGTTTCTATAATTCGCAACTGATTCGCAACGCCCTTTTGTTTCTATAATTCGCAACTGGTTCTGACCCCTCGAATATAGAGTGTCGAAATAATTTTGCCTTAAGACTATCTGCCTTTGTTTTCGATCCAGATCATGGAAGTGGAGTTGGCTACTTGAACTTGTGTACCACAACATTGATGGGAGTTCCTTACTATTGCACGAATAGTTGGTCTCTACTAGCCTCCATCACCAACTGAATCGGTCGTCGAAAACAAAATTTCCTTTAGTTCTGGGGGAAAAATATATAATAAATTTAATATTCTTATTTCATTTTTAAGAATTAAACATGGTCCTTTTTTTCTAAAGAGTGTGTTATCATACCGCAACTTAACTCTGTAAACTTAATAAACTAAAAAGTATTTTTTATTAAAAAATAAAAAATTAAATTAGCCAATAGATGGTATATTTTATGTAAGCCAGATCAGAGATCTTTAGAATCTCAGGTTGCGGTCTTACTATTTTTCATCACAATTCAGTCATGAATGATCAAACACCTGCTTACTACAACGCGGATGCAGTGCGTCCGCTTCTCACCTGGCCGTTGGTGAATGAGGCGGTGGAATCGGCCCTCAAGGCGGTGGTCAAGACCTCCTCTGCCTGGGCCGCCCAGCCAAAGAGAACTTTCACACCGATCGGCTCTAAGGGAAGCGATCCAGCCAAGGGTGTTCTGCTAACCATGCCCGCTTTTGTGGGAAACTATGAGAAAGCCTCTGGAGGAGGGAACTCTACTCTGGCCTGCAAGCTGGTGACCTCATTCAGTGGCAATTCCCAGCGCCAGCCCCCTTTGCCCAGGATCCTGGCTCATGTGTTGGTTTTCAATCACCAGACTGGCCAACTGGCAGCCATCATGGAGGCCACGGATCTGACCACCAGGCGGACAGTAGCCGCTTCGTTGGTCTCCACCAAGTACCTTTACTTCCGGCGGTTCGGTCCAGATGCGGAAGTGAAGCGTCTTATTACGGTGGCCATTGTTGGATGCGGGGTCCAGGGTCAGATGCATGCCCTGGCCTTTTGCCAAAATTTCCGGGTTAAGCAACTCAACTTGTACAATCGCTCCAGGGCCAAGGCCGAGGAGCTGGAGAAGCTCATTGCACTGGAGTTGGGTGGTCTAGGTCAGGCGGTGAAGATTTGTGAGAGTTCCAGTGAAGCCTGCCACGAGGCGGATGTCATCTGTGTGGCCACCTTTGCCAAGGAGCCTCTTATCCACATTGAGGACCTAAAGTCCAGTGGCTGTGTTCACATAAACGGTAAGTTAAACTATAAATTATTAAATAATAGATGATTTTAAATTTTGATCAAGCTGTGGGCGCTGGAGAGATTCACTTTTCGGAGGTGGCACCCAGTGTCTACCACAAGGCCAAGGTGTATGTGGACTGCTACGCCAACGCCGAGGCGGAGCTAGTGGGTCTGCCAGCTCCCATCACCGCCGAAGTGGGGGAAGTAATTCTCAACGAGGAGTACCCCAAGGAGCAGGACATAACCATTTTCCAGTCAATGGGTGAGACACACCTTCCTATAGCCATCTCTTTCCGATTTGAGAACGATTTTTTTGAAAATTATGCACAATTTTTGAGTATAGCCTTCTTTTTCTTTTCGAATTTTTCAAAAATTTTAAAAACTAACAACAATAAAAACAAACTTAAAACAAGAAGCAATTAATTAACATTTTTAAAATTATATTTTAAAGATAACAAAGATGTAAAAAAAATATTAAAACTAAAAAAAACCTAAAAATAAATGTAAAAAGTTAAAAATCAAATCAGATTACCATAAAAACTCACTCTAATTGAAAATATTCTTTCAGGAATGGCTTCGGAGGATGCTTGTGTGGCCCAAGCTGTTCTGGATGCCATCAACGCTGGAAAGGATTAATAAACACCAATGGAATCACTTCTCCTCTGTATATATGTGTATATAAAAAAAAAATCAATTGGAAACATAACAATCTGTTCGCTCTACAAACTATAGAAACTACAACAAGCCGATTGCCGGCTAGCCCGGTCCCGGTCCCATTCCCAGTCACTTCCAGATCACAGTCACATTCGTGTCCTTCTCGATGTCCCGCTCGATGGTGCAGGGCGACAGGCCCGTCTTGCAGCAGATCTCATCGAAACTGATCAGGCCGGTGTACATCTTCTGCCGCCCCGACGGCACCGAACCGGTAAACACCGGATACTTGTGGATGCAACGAATGAAGCGATGTTGCAGTCCAAAGATCACCATACGCCGTTCATCGATGTTATGCTGCTGCGGACACAGGCGCTGGCAGATCGCACGCAAGGTGACGCCGTGCGTCATCGAGGCGTAGAACTGGAAGATGCGCTGGACGCTGGGCAGCGTCTTGTCGGGCCGCAAGGCCACATATGTGCGGCACGCTCCGCTTAGCGCAGCGCTCTGGATAAGGTGCTTCAGGTTTTGGGTCATGTACACGTTGCTGTACTTCAGGATGGGCAGCAGTTGTACGACGCCGTAGTAGACCAGATTCTGGATGCAGGACTTGACCAGATCCGTTTCCACATCGGCCTCGGCAGCGATCCGCGCCACATGATTAATGCCATTGATGTAGGGAAGAATCTGGAGAAGAATCAAACGGATTTGGATGAAAATTGAGACATTTTTTGGATTTATTCCCGTACCTGTTGCGTGGTCAGATCCCAATTGTCCAGCGGTGCATCCCTGAGGTTGGCCAGTAGCAGGGGCACCATGTGATCCTTAACCGGCGGCGGATCCGGCTTGTGCATAACGATTTTCAGGTATATGGTATTGTCGCCCTCGACAATGGTCGCCACCTTGCGTTCATTTAGATCGCGCAGCACAGTCTCAAAGATGTTCTGCAGCCGTCGCTTGTCGTCCTCGCGCGACAGGAAGCAGGACTCCTCCTCCATCATGATAAGGTACTCGGATAACTTCTTCACCACCGGCTCGTACTGAACACTCCTTGCCCGGGAGTCGCAAACGAAGCAAAGATTGAAGAGGAAGGCATTGCGGGGATACTTCTGCTGATCCTGGATACCCACCGGATAACCCACGATCTTCACATCCATGGCGTTAACGGTGAGGATGCAGCGCTGCAGATGCTGCTTGGGTATAATGTATACATTGATGGCGTCAAACACGTCCTTGGAGATGTAGTTTTCGGGCACCTGTACATGGACAGCATTGGAGTTTTTATCAGTAACTATTAACGGATGAGCTGTGGGAATCCTCTCACCTGGCAGCTTATCTTGCAGCCCGCTGTGGCATGGAACTCGCTGAGGAATATACATCGGATCTTGCCCTCGGTGCTGCCGCCTCCGGAAGTTCCAGTTGCGGCGACTCCTCCCGCCGCTCCTGTTCCGCCGGCCGTGCCGCCACCTCCGCCGCCGCTGGTGCTGGTGGCTGTCGCCTCGTTGGTGTGGGAGTGCATTTTGACTGTTGCTATCACCGCATTTTTAAATCCGACAGCGCCTCGATCCTCAAATCTTAGTGGATTCCGCCTTAAAGTTCTTGCTCATCGGTCAGTGCAATATGGCCACACCAATATGGCCATAAAATACCAAATTCATGTTTTGGTATATTTTCAACTTTTACCCGCGAAACTTTAAATCGAAATAATGATTAAGATATTAAGATTATTAGATTATCGGCATAATTATTAAGGCTTTTAATATTATTTAGGTATCGCGATATTTATTAAATATTTATTATCGCGCACTTTTTTGTACCGATTGTTATCGATAGTGTCGCTTTCGTGTTTGCCATCCTTGGATGTCAGTGACCTGCCGCCTCTGGTCACATTGTTGCAAAAATTGTGGCCCAGCCGGAACGTTAACAATTTTATTCATAAAAACTAGCGAATTTAAGGAAATAAAATGACAAACGAAGACGTCGCAGTTAACAATGTGGCGGATCGGCTCCAAGTGGGCCCCCGCGAAGGTGTAACCTATCCCATTAAGATGAAATACTGCGGCCACTGCACAATGCCCATCGAGGTGAGTTCCAGTCTTCCAAAATTAGACCATAATACGGTTATATCCCTAAAATGTCATTCAAATCGGCCAATGTAGTACTGTGAGTACTACCCAGAGTACGAGAAGTGCAAGGAGTGGCTGGAGCGCAACATGCCCGATGACTTCGAGCGCCTGAAAATCGAGGAGGAGTCGGCATCCGCTGACGGCGCCGATGATGACAAGAAGCGCCAGAAGCGCGGCGGAAAGGGCCTGCTCCGTGTCAAGAAGAAGGAGGATGTGCCGAAGAAAATCTGCGTTTCCAGGGCGGCACGTGGCAAGAAGAAATCCGTGACCGTTGTTACAGGACTGAGCACTTTTGGTAAGTTATGTTATAGATTCTGGAGATTCCAAGATGTACACGCCCAATCAGACTCCTTTCATCCCGGATATAGTACTTTCCCAAATCCAAAAAATTAAAAACTGCCAAGTCATTGCCATATTTCCATACACAAGGACAAGTTTTTTTTATGAAATTTTATCGAGTTTTCTTGCATATTCTATAACCTTTTATTAGTTTTCCTAATATTTCACAATTTTCTTGTAGACATTGATCTCAAAGTGGCCGCCAAATTCTTTGGCACAAAGTTCGCCTGCGGATCTTCGGTTACCGGCGAGGATGAGATCGTTATCCAGGGCGATGTCAAGGACGATCTCTTTGACGTTATTCCCGACAAATGGTCGGAAATCGATGAGGACGTAATCGAGGACTTGGGTGATCAAAAGCGTTAGCTTCTCTAATTAACATAATTTTCTATTGTTTAGCTTATTTTGTACGCTACATCAACAGGCAAATGAATTAAAAAAAAATTTAAAAAACGTTGAACGACTAAATCCCCTAAACTGTGTCATTTTTGTGGCTGCTCTTCCCTACTGTCCTTGTTATCCACCTCCATAGGCTGGTCTGCCGAGGTGGATGGCTTTTTCGCCGCTGCTGCTGCCTTTGCGGGCTTACTTGTGGCTTCTGTTGCGGCTTCCTTGCCTGCAGCAGGAGCTGTGTCCTCTTTGGCTTCCTTATTTTCGGGTCCACTGTGGAAGTGTTTGTAACTCAGCTGGATAATCTTCTCGTTCTCCTCGTCCGTCAAGGGCACCTTGTTGTCGTCAATGAGCTGAAAGTATTGAAATATAATAAGCTAGTCCCAATACTACAACTTTTCGTAATCCTCACCAGCTGCGTGTGAAGAGCACTTGTTGGCGGATCGTTGACCATTTGGAGTATCTCGTGGGATTTCAATCGGTAGCTGGACAGATCCTTCACATAGTTTATGATGGATTCCCGGGTCTGGGTTTTGCACGGCGAGTCCTCCAGATATTGCAGCGCCTGTTGAAGTTATTAGGTACTCATTTTTATTAAATAATTTATGAAATATTTAATATTTATTTAAAACCTCATAGGTTACAGTTGCCAGGTTCCTCATGCCAAACTTCTTTTTTGTGCTCTTGATCTTTTGGAGAATCTTCATCACCTCTAGATTCGTCAGATACGAGTATGTGGGATTGATGCTGGAGGGGCAGACCAATTTAACAATAATTGGCTTATTGATATTACAATAACAATTTGAAGCATATTCTTACGTTTCCATGTTGTGGTCGCAACGGCAACGTAATGTTACCGTTCTAAGGTGACGTCAATAATACCAAAAACAACTACCACGTGTGCGTTTTACAACACCTGTTTAATATCGGTGAATGAATAGCACCTGTTGGAGATGTTTTTGCAAAGAAAAGCTTTATATTTAAATAACATTTTTTATTTTCTGTAAATATGATATGAAATATATATTATTTAATATATATTTTACCGACTTTCTGCATTGTTTCAATATGCTTTGATGCTATTTTTTAACTATAAATAATACATAAGTGCTATATTTTTAATTTAGACAAAATTAATTAGAATTAAGTATTACTTTTAATTAATATTTATATTTAATACTCTCCTACTGACTTTACTCCTCTCTAAAACCTGCACTTTCCAACACCGTTCATGAGGCAGCATTTTAAATCAACGCGTTTTATTTATTTGGTTCGCCGGCAGCCGGCTTTTTTTGCGCTGAATGTGAAACAAAACAATTTGATGTTTTTTATGAAACAAGTAGGCTATGCATTGTAATGTCAAATTGTGTAGCTAGAGAATTTCGGTACAAACGGTCATTCGTAATGCAGAACTACGTACAATACGTAATACGTACAAGTCCCACGTCTAGAACCTTTTCTACGGGGTTTTCTATTTTATTTTTAAATATTACAAAATTTCAATTAGCATGAACAAGACTGAACAATAGTAAACGATCTACAAGTAACATACGAATAGTTAAATTGTTATTAGTTAAATAAATCTGACCGTTCTGATAAGTACGCGCGCGCTTTCCTTTCGTCTAGTAAGTGTTATTAGTTAAATCCAGGTAAGTGGTTGTTGCTGTTGTCCACCATTGGGAATGCCCGATGCTGTTACATTTACAGTTATTTCGTGTCAGAAGTAACTGAACTTAGTCGTAGTCGTAGTGGCTTTTGAAATTTAATTCGAAAGACTTGTGACAGCTTTGGGGCATTACCTGATTGGGATTCTGTCACTACAGTCTGATATACATTATACATATATTTTTAATATTTTACAATTTAAGAAATAGAAGCCACAATCATGATTTCAACCAGCGAGACTTCTAAGAACAAAGCCCCGAAGAGACGCATCAGCGATTCTCTGAGGACTCGTCGTATTCGCCGTCTAGGCTCGGCTGTCGATCGAGCCGACACCAAGGAGAACCACCGCTCCGCCGATCTCGCCGTGGTTGCTGCTTCACCTCAGGGCCCGTTGCCCGAACCGAATATTTATCCGGAACGTCCCGGTTGCGGCCAGTATGCCTGGTTGATAGGTCTTGTGGCTGTCTTGAGCGGCCTTGTGCTTGCCAGTATGGCGGACCTATCGGGATTATCGACCGACACCATTAGTGATTTCGTAGACAGCTATTCCAATCAGTACAATGTAATTATTCACGAGCGTCCCGGTTACTGCGAACGCCATGCTCGCTTGGGTGCCATGGTGGACCACGCCTGGGATCAGGTGCTGAACCAGCCGGATGCTCTCGAGAAGCTAGAGCTCGCCTTGGACAATACCACGTTCAATGTAAGTAGGCTTTCACATAATTTTCAAATAATTTCGGCCATGAAATCCACATCTAAAATGTCGAGTGAAAGCAGAACCCTTCCTATGTGTGTATTCCCAAGCCCAAACCCCCACAATTCCTCTTGCAGGCCATTGCATTGATAGGATCCTCGGGTGTTGGAAAGAGCCACACCGCCCGTTTGCTGCGCGAAAAGTTCCCGTGGCCGGAGAATGTTAAGACTGTTGCCTGGGACGATTCCAACGCCCTGGCCCTCATCCCCAGCATCCTCTCGCACCTGAAGCTGTGCGGGCGCAACCTTATCCTCGTCGATAACATGACCCCCAAGGACATACGCTACGTTCCCTATATCAACGGCTTGATACGCACTCATCCGGAAATCGCCAATGGAACGGCCAACAAACCGAGCAAGAAGTACGTGACCATTGTGTACATCATTAGCCTGAACCGATTGCTGCCCGATGACGAGTTCCAGGCCCAGAAGATGGCCGTGCAGAAGCTGATCAACACCCATCTGATCAACTACAATGACTTGGAGCGCTCTCACGTCGAGGACTGCATCCGCCGTACGGCCCGGGTCGAGGGCATGGAACTGACTCGCGATCAAATCCTTGATATAATCTATTCCATAGATTACATAAATGCCGGGTGCAAGCCAGTCCGTGCCAAGGTCCTGATGTACGGGACGCCCGTCAAGCAAAAGCCATAGGCTACTCGATATTTAATAGTTCGACTAGGAGCGCCGTTAGCGACTTCTATTTTAGTTATAAATTAACGTTTGTGTAGTGTATATAAATTTAGAAAATGCCATGACATTCCTAATAGGATAAGCGACGCCAAAGGACCTGCTAGACAGCGATTGTGAAGACTAGAACTTTTGAAGTTGGTAGAACTATAGATAATAATGCAGGGATTTCAAATCTGGTATGTGCGAGGCTTAAACTAGGCATCAGAAAGAATAAAAAAAATTATTTTTGGAACTTTAAGAGCCTCTGAATTGTTTTTTTTTTTTATTAACATTTAAGAATCTTCCTTGAAGTATAAAAAATCCCTACTTTAAGTTTAAAGTTTAAGTCGTTTTTTATTGAAAAATATTTTTCTAGTGACATTTTTTAAGTTTTTAAACGAAAAAGTTTTTGTGTTTTCTTAAATTATAAAGTAAGAGATTATAGTTATAAGAGAAAACTTATAAAAAATATAAGAAAAAGTTTTAAAAATTTTTAACAAATATTTTTAAAACTTTCAAAAAGCTGATAATTGTTTTTTATTTTTACAATTCGGTTCTAAGCCGAACTTGGGCTTAAATTGTAGTTTTATTTTAAGAATTATTTTTAAGATCTTGAATATTAGTTGTATTATTTTAGAGACTTTGTAGAATTTGTGGTGAATAGTTTTTAAGTTTCAATTTTTGTTTTTTTTTCCAACTAGACTGTATACATGTCTTCTATAAGACCTATTATCTATATCTGTATTATATCTGTATATATTAAAATTTCCATCTATAGATTCATTTCCCCCACTTTTTATAAATATTGCTAAATATTTTCATTATTTTAGGATTCAATTTTTCCTATTTTTTCCAACTAGACTGTATCCTAGAAGACCCACTTACAGGATGCTATATATTTTGTCTATATATTTAGATTTAATTTGTTCCTTTTTTTTGCCAACTAGTCTGTATCCTAGAAGACCCACTTTATAATTCCCATCCATTGATCCACTTGACCCACTTTTTGTGAAACTCCAAAAAGTATGCTATAGTTTTGCAAGCCAAACCCTTTCCGTTCTGGATAATCGCTTGTGGCCACGCGTTATATTTTGCATTTTTCTGTTTTTGTTTTGAAACATTTTTGAGGTTTCTGGCTTCTGGCTGACTGACTTTTGCCTTGTTTGCGTTTTTATAGCCAACGACGAAAAAAAAAGAAGCTACCCCGTGCTCCAATCTCTGTTATCGGGCGTCGTGTGGCGGCCCGATTTAATATTTTATGATGGCCCTGGCCTACAAACAAATAAAAAATCATAAAAAATACAAAAAAACGGCACACCAGAAAATTCCGACTCAGTTTCCCAGGGTCAAGTGCGTATAGTGTTATTTATTTTGTTGTCCCGCAGGCACCCGCGCACACGACGTATGCGTGATGGGCGGTTGCATTGAGACGACCCACTTCCGGACGCTCCGGAGGCCGACTACGCCGGACGCATTTTGATTTCCCTTAACGTACTACTGTGCCACTCTGCTCCGTATTTCAATTTTTTCCATGTTTCGTTTGTTTTTTGAGGGTGCTACGATAACAGAATCTCGAATCGCATCGGCATTTAAGTTAATTTGGCAATTAGCTAACAATGGTTAATGGCTTAAATGCTCTTTGGCTAATTGCCGGTGGTGGCTATAAATATGTTGCACATTTCATGGAGACTTTTGTAATTAAAACTATGAAGTATTTGTTGGTTTGCAGCGTTGGCCTGGCGGGTATCCTGCTGCACCTCCTGCCGCCATCTCAGGTGAGTTTTTTTTTTTTTGCTTTCGAAATAAAACTAATAACTCTTTTCTTCACAGAGCACTTCGTATGAAATCATTGGCGATGAAAGGACTATGAATTTTATTTGTGACGATGAGGATAATCGTGGCAATGTCCCTCTGCGTAAGATCCTGGACACCAGCGGAGTCCACTTCGTAGTGGCCGATGACATGGAGACTCTGTACTATACGGGTGATGTGAAAATGTTGGACAACTTGGTCCGAGGACCGATCACTATGGAAGTGGATGTGTATCGCTGGCAGCGAAGTCAGTGGCTGCCCACAGGACTATCTCTAAGGCGGGATAATTTCTGTGAGGCCCTCAAGAACCCTCGAGAAATTTGGTATCCGATTCTCACAAAAATTGGCATAAATGTGAACTATTGTCCTCCCAAAAAAGGGGTAAGTCCGGATAAGATTTTATTCTTTTAATACTCTTGGATATTTTCTGGGTATTTTATTATACTTTTTACCATATAGACTTCGTATACCCTAACGAATGTGAGCAATCACGTCTTCGTTAAAAACATGCCCTTCGCAGATGTCGCCGGCGATCTGAAGGCTGTGGTGCACTTTGGTAACGGTGGCAGAAAGACCTGTGTAGTAATTTACCTCAAGGTCTACACCCATTGAGGCTTTTGGAGGCGGTTTGTGGATCTGGGAGATGGGAATCCGTTTCTCTGTTTGCATAGTTTACGGCACTAGCTCTGCTCGACTTTTTATGGCCAGACTTTGTCATGTTTGCTTAGCTTCAATGGCGCGTCCCCTGTTTATGGTTAAATAACTAAATGATTTGCAAATAAAAGCGAAAAAAAGCGAAAATTATTTCATATTCATGCACTCGAAACAGAATGCCAGAAATGCTGACTGCTTTACAGCTTGGTGGTGCCTCTATTTAGATATACCTTGGATTTTTTGGGTTTTTTTAAACCATAAAAGGGTGATATTTATAGACTTTTATGATTATACAGAAAAGTATGCTTTAAAAATGTATATTTCTTCAGACCAGTACCGAGTATCATATAGTTTGTTGTTTAAAGTTGATTTGTTTTAAATTTTTTGTCTATTTGGGGTTAGTGGCTCTGAAACGATAAGCCCCAAAAAAAATATTAAAAAAACTGGTCACCTTAGCCCAGTAATCCGCTTCCAGTATTTGCCAGAAGCTCAAATGCGGCGCCATCCATAACCGAAACCACTGAACCACATTCGCCTTTGCGCGTGACAGTTTTTCCCTCAAATACACACACTCAGAAAATTGTTGTATATCTTCAGAAATTTACAATGTTTGCTGATGGTTGTTCCTACTTCTTGTTTAATGAATATATTTAATTCGTGACGAGTGCACGTGGTCGGTTGGGCGTTGCGATTGCATTTGTCATGTGAATCACTTTAAAGGGGGTGCTAAAAAATGGTATAAACATTTACTTTTTTTTTTTAAATAGCCAAAGGCTCATTAAAATTTTTATGGTTTTTCAACAAAATGAAAAATATTTATAAACATATTTGATTAAATAATAATACTAAAAAAAAGGCCATAGAAAGAAAGTTTATTTATATAAATATCTATATTATTTTAAAGTTTTTGGTGCTAAAAGCTTAAGCAAATATTTATTATATATTTCTCATAACTCTTAGCAACGCAAATAAAATTATTTCTATTTATTTTTTCAAAAGTAAAAAGCAGTAAAAGCTCTTATGCTAAAATTTCAAGCAAATATTGGCTTCAAATGGATCTTATTTCATTTGCATAATACTTTCAACAGTGCCATTATTTATTTTAATTTCGAATTCTAAGCAAATAAATATTTTAGGCTGTGTGTCAAAATATGTTTGTAAATATTTTGCCCAAACGAGTTTTGATTTCAAAATCAACTTTCAAACCATTTTAATGAAGTAAACATGATATAATAGAGTGAATTAAATGGTAATTAATTAATTTCTTACCCAATCTATTTAAATATATTTTATTTAAATTTTAACATCTAATCGCTCCATTATCAATCAATTTAATTACCAATCTAGAGCATTACGAAATATCTCACTCACATACAGATGATGAAATATTTAAGTCAATTTGGAATAATTAACCCGCGATTTCCGCTTTCCATGAAGTGTTATAGAATACGTCTGAGTCTATTTGTTTTCTTGACCGACGCTATCTGGTAATTGTTTGCCTCGCGTTTGCGTTTTGTCGCAATAAGAGACAAACAGCCGAGTCACAACAAACAATAAATTCAAAATATAAACACTAATAAATCCCCCCTCAGTTCTATTTGAAAATTTCATTTTGAAAGTGCATCGATAATACCAGGAATAAAATGGAAAATACTATACATAGATTGATTTTAAAAGATAACAAAAGACAGTGCGTTTCGGCAAGGCAAAGTTTCAAGGCATTCTAAAAAATTATTTAAACAAAATTTAATGGTTTCAAGCTATATTTCAGGCTTACAAAATATTTTTAAAGTTTTATTAAATTTTTATGTGAAACGCACTGTTTTGTTTTTTATGCAAATCGTTGCTTTGAATTCTCATGGGAATGCATTTTAATAATATAACTGGCATTTGTTCATATGAATCAATCACATTCCTTTTAATAATATTGGTCACAGCTGATGTGAGCCGATTGAAATTGTTTGCATCATAAAAAGTGGTATTAATTATCCCACCGAGTTACCACATACTGCTTTGAACTGGTCATGACCCGTTAAGAGCGGTTATGAAGCTGGATCTAGTTTGTAAGTATATTTGTAGTGTCTGTACGTTGTGTATTATATATATGACTATATGACATCAAAATTAGCAAAGATATAGACATCCCAGTGGGCCATATAGGGTGGGACCCCGCATTCCCCATTTTTCGATAGGGGTCCCCTCAGAAAATTTGACAAAAAATCTAAAAAATATAGTGCTCTCATATTTTTATGCAGATCGATGGAGAATGGCTCTAGAAGTGTTCTAAGCCATTCCGCTCAAGAATCGGATCAAAACTGGCAAAGATATGGCCATCCCTGTGGGCCATATAGGGTGGGACCACGCATTTCCCATTTTTCGATAGAGGTCCCGTCAGAAAATTTGAAAAATATCTCAAAAATATAGTGCTCTCATATTTTGATGCAGATCGATGGAAAATCGCTCTAGAAATGTTTTAAAACATTCCGCTCAAGAATCGGATCAAAATTGGCAAAGATATAGCTATCCCTGTGGGCCATATAGGGTGGGACCACCCATTCCCCATTTTTCGATAGGGGTCCCCTCAGAAAATTTGAAAAAAATCTCAAAAATATGTCGCTCTCATATTTTGATGCAGATCGATGGAGAATCGCTCTAGAAATGTTTTAAGACATTCCGCTCAAGAATCGGATTCAAATTGGCAAAGATATAGCTATCCCTGTGGGCCATATAGGGTGGGACCACGTATTCCCCATTTTTCGATAGGGGTCCGTCCCCTCAGAAAATTTGACAAAAAATCTCAAAAATATTTCGCTCTCATATTTTGATGCAGATCGATGGAGAATCAATTTGGAAACATTTTAAGACAATCCTCCCAAGAATCGGATTCAAATTGGCAAAGATATAGCTATCCCTGTGGGCCATATAGGGTGGGACCACGTATTCCCCATTTTTCGATAGGGGTCCGTCCCCTCAGAAAATTTGACAAAAAATCTAAAAAATATAGTGCTCTCATATTTTGATGCAGATCGATGGAGAATCGCTCTAGGTGTGTTCTAAGACATTCCGCTCAAGAATCGGATCAAAACTGGCGAAGATATAGCCATCCCTGTGGGCCATATAGGGTGGGACTACGCATTCCTCATTTTTCGTTAGGGGTCCCCTCAGAAAATCTAAAAAATATTTTGAGATCAATGGGGAATTGTGTTTAAGGATTCAAAGTATATAAGCAATGATATAGACATTTCCTCTTAAAAGAATATCTAATAGATATACACATTAATCATCCGCCACGTTGTACATTAGAAAAATATAATAACTAAAAATTTAGCTGTTTTTAAATCATGATAATCAGGAAGAGAATGTTTTTTTTTAATTTATAAATTAAATTTATTGAAAAAGTGTTAATATTCCATATCTAGAATCTGCGCATTGCTCATACGCCCCGTTAATTCATAATGCATTTCATTCAGCGCCTGAAATTGGCTTCTAAGGCTCGCACAACATAATTAATGAGGAAAGCACCTATAGTATAGCTATCTTTCGGCGGCACTTGAGCCATTTGTTATTCACTTTATTAATACCCTGGCCATTAAAATAAATAGTGTTACAAGAGGAGAGTCCCCATTATGAGAGTGTAAAGCAAAGCCAAGACTTAGGGAGTGTTTGCTTTGAAAAATCTGAAAAATAGTTAAGGCAAACAGGGTTTATGGGCCAATATACAAAACGGTAGCCAAGTACCTACTATTTGTACCCTGTTTTCGTGATTGTATGGACATTGTTCAGTTCTATATATTTTTGTGTGTGTGTGTTTTTTTTTTGTCGTGGGTATATATTTTTGTGTGGATTTTAGCAAAGGCTATATTTGACTTGACGTTGCATTGGTGGCCTGGCCTGGCCCTGCCCGGTGGGTAAATTGCATGAATTAGGTGCCTTTATTTATCGTATTTATATAACTGAACTGAGTGAAAAATGTAAATAAATGAGAAAAGAAAACAAAATACAGAGAAAAAATTAGAATAGGAATAGGAATACGAGTACACTGAGTACTGTGAAAATGTAGCGAATACGAGAATACGACGACTACGACTACGAATAGAACAAGAAATAATGTTACGAAATGCAAATAAACAGAATGTCAGTGCAGCGTTTAGTGAGCATTAAACGTCGTACACGAACGTTATCCGAAAGTTATAGTTGCAGTTAGATACAAATACAGATACAGATACATTTACGGATACCCCGAAAGCGCGTGCGTGTTTGTCTTTTTTAGTTATTTATTTTTTTTATTTTTTTGTTCTGATCACTAAATGAATTTTTTTTTTTTATTTTTATTTTATAGTTTATCTATTTACTCTTCTCATTGCTATTCGGTGGACACACACGTCACATTTTTTGATCTTGTTACAAGTGCAAAAAAGAAAGATCAATATTTGCCCTTAAAATAGAGTAAAGTGTTCGTCAAATACGTTAGTTGTGTGATAACAATAAAAAAAGGGTTCCATTTACTCAAAAAAAAAAGGTTAAAATTGTGCAATCTGTGTAAATTTGTTTATATATTTTCTTTACAAAAAAATACACAAATTTATATTATTATTTTCTTGTTTATTTAATGAAATGTGATTTGATGATGAAAGAAACTCTGGGCAAGAATTGTGTATCAAGTTAGTATATCAATTTGGCGACAAGTGTACGAAATTTATATTTTAAATATATACATAATACACATTAATTAATAAAGAGCTCTAGGAGTTTCTGGCAAAAAAACAATAAATTTTCTTGGGAATCTCCCGTCGAGGGCATTCAGCCCCTTGAATGGGTTCATTTCCTGCTCTCTGACGTTGCAATTTTTAATTTGTCGCATGTCGTGCCAGCTTGTCTCTTCCTCCCACCACCTCTTACCTATAAAAAATAAAAAAAAAAAGTAGAAAAAAAAAGCGAAATCATCCCACCACCCACTCTCATTTGATTAAATAAAGAAACAGCATTTAATCAAAATGAGAAGAGCAAACACGCAGAGTGTAAACAGCGAGTGCCGTTCGCATTTCGCTTATTAAGTAAATAAATAAATGAGAAGAGTATTAAATTAATTAAATAAATAATATTTTCAGGAACAAACAAATAAATA